AAATCCAGGTGTGAAAAACTTGTTGCATCATTCCCAAGAAGACTCATGGCTGTACTAGCTCAAAAGGGTGCTTCTACTCAATACTGAGCAAAGGGTCTGAATACTTATGACCATGTGACATTTCAGTTTTTCTTTTTTTTTTAATAAATTTGCAAATATTTCTACATTTGTTTTTCTGTCAAGATGGGGTGCTGAGTGTACATTAATGAGAAATAAAATGAACTTTTTTGATTTTAGCAAATGGCTGCAATAAAACAGTGAAAATTGAAAGGGGTCTGAATACTTTCTGTACCCACTGTGTGGGAAAAATAATTATCGGTTTATCCTGGGCATGGCAGCCCCCCCCCCCCCTAACAGGAAGTTAGCTTTCTAAATCATGGTTCAATTTCCTGCCCCACATTTTTCCCATTTTCATGTAGAAATCATTCAATGGATCATTGTCCTTTGGTTCAGTCAATAATTGCCTGTCATTGTCATAAAATGTGTGTTTCGCCTCAAATGGTGAGGTTGGTAATCTAAAGGTTGGAGGGTTGAATCCCTGTTTGCTCAGGGATGGTGGTGTGTTGACCAAGCACCAAACAAACAAACAACCCTCTGGCTCTACCGGTTGTATTACCAGTGTGCAGCCCACTTGTTTGTTCTCATCACAGGATTAGTAGAAAACTAAAACAAATACATGAGGGATAAAAAAGTGACTGTGAAGCTGTGAGGCGTTGAAGGACAGACTGAGGAGAAGTGGGAGATGAGGGAGTGAGGAGATATGTTGTGGAGGGGAGACAGTGATGATGGCACAGGCAGGGGTCCATTACCTGATTAATCTGACTGAGACCGTCTGAAAGACTGCTGGCCTTCTGTTAATGTGAGGAGAAGCAGCCATCTATCATGTCAGGAGGAACTTGTCGCCTCCTCTCTCCACACCAGTTACTCCCATTAACACCACTATAGGAGAAAGATATAATACAGTTTCACATAACAAAGAAGCAGGTGACCGAAACCTTTCTGATGAGGACAACAACGACCCATCAGACTCTTAATGACTGTTTACACTTTCCCAGTTGACGTCATCAATGTGCGTCTGTGTTAACTGGCAGTATGGCTCCACTGTGAAAGCCGGTGTGATTGTAATTCTGGTCTAAAGATTTTATACGTTTTTCCTCTTACCTGTGATTTTGTTGAGGATGACCATGGATTTAACTTTCCTCGGGACGGGCTCGGCCTACCCGTCTCCTCGGCTCTGGTGCTGCGGACAGAAGGTGACTGCTGGTTGTTTGACTGCGGAGTAGGAACCCAGACCCAGCTAATGAAAAGTCAGCTCAGAGCCTGTTAGTATTGTTGCTTCCAGGAACAGCCCGTCATTTCAGTCCGTCTAATCCGATCAGAATACTTGTTCTACGTTTATATTCATTCATGAAATGCTGCCAACAGACATTAATGCTGGTCGCATTACAACAAGCATTTGCAACTTTAATGAGATTGGTTGTGTTATTAATTTGAGACTGGTTGATAACACCGAGTGCTCCTAAGCAGCACTCGACCCATTGCACCTACACAGGACAATCACTCTGGATGTCTCCACTGACTCCACTGATGTCTCTTTTAATGATTATCGTTGCTATTATTTAATGTGTTTTTGGAATAAAACAGATATTGTCCATCCTAATATAAATGTGCTGGTTCACAGTTTTGTTTCTATAGGACAGTGAAAGTGAGGTTTGTAAAGCTGGTAGTTACTAACACCAAAATTGAGGAAAATGTCATTTTTAGCTATCACTGTTATTGCCACTGTGTTCCCATCTTGGTTTGTAGGTTTGTGTCAATATAGTAGATCCACATTAATAATTGAAGTCACAAATTACATGCTTTTCATATTGATAAGAAGGCAGTTGATCAACATTCGCTGGGCTGTGACATAAAACCATTGATAACAATAGCAATCTTAGACCAGACAGGTGGGAACACCCAGAACACTGTAGCAGGTTTTTGTGAGAGAATCTGTTTAGAACAAATGTATGTTAATTGTTTAAATATATTGATATTTGGCACTAGTATATAATACAAAAATGTATTAGAAATATTGTGATGAGTCACAGTATCGATATTTTGGCACACCTAAGAATGTTCTCATTTTGTGTCCTTCAGGTCTCAAACCTGGTCCTCTGTATGGGTGTTTGAAAGCTGGAGAGTGTGACCTTGGATAGTGGTCTGGTGGTGCAGCCTAGTGATGTGCTGAAGACTGCAGCTCAATTCTGGGAACAAAGACTTTTGATGCGTGCCATGGAGCTAATGTTCTGGTTCATGAAGCCACTCTGGCAAACCAGCACCAAGACAAAGCAGTGGACCACGGACACAGCACGCCACAGATGGCAGCAGCAGTGGCACGGGCATGCAGTGCAAGGCAGTTGGTGCTGTACCACTTCAGTGGTACAAACCAAGCTCCCTGTGGAAGGAAGGAGATGAGGACGATGTAACAGAGCTGAAAAGGCAGGCTGAAGAAGCTCTGCAGAACTGTGGTGTAGAAGTGCTTCTGGCTTAAGACTTTCTCAGTGTGCCTGTCCCTTTAAGAAGATAAAAAAACACTAAGACTTAAAGGAATGGAGGTTGTCCTCCAGTTGCACAATTGAACATAGGGACATGGACAGGAAATTGATGTTAATGGCAAATATTAGTACTTTTGTACACTGGATTTTTAACATCATTAAACAATTTCTACTAACGTTTGACTCAGTGAACAAAGTTGCTTAACCATCTCCAAATTCTTTACTACTTCCTGAATTTTTTGTACACAAATCTAGAAACACTTTAAAGAACCCTAAATAGTGTGTTCAAAATCATAAGAAAAACTCATAAATAACATGTGCTGTGGCTATCATGCAATACAAAGTAAGGTTTTCTCAAGGGTTAATATTACAACTTCAAATGCAGAATGTTTTAAGAACTTTCCGCATCACTTTGAAAGCAAGGAAGACGCAATAATTTCTGAACATTTTCCAGAGCTTTATTTCTGGATCTGTACACAAGGTATTAAAGTACAACAGAAAATACAAAATGTTTAACCAAAGAAAAAAAAAACCTCAATGACTATGTACAATTCTTATAAAGATAAAGTAAAGTTTTTGATTGTCTATATTTCTGGATATACATCTTTAGGTTTTGTAGGTGTTTTATTCACAAAGGTGTTTGCTTTTGTCAACTGAGGTTTCTGTTTCAAAACTGCTATATTTTTCTTTTTAAACTTCAAAACAATACAATATAAAAAATGTGTATGTGTCAGACCAGATATATCAATAAAATATCAAATTTTCTTAAAGAGTTCACAGGGTGCTGAAAAAAAACCTACATCTACTACGTAATGGCCTTAACATTCTGACACTTTTTCGAATCTTTGTACAAACCACAGTTGAAATAAATATTACTGCACTGCTAAAGCTAGAAGAGCTCAGAGGACCTACTGCATTATGCTTATTGCATTAAAAAAGAAAAAAGCTCTCTATATACTTAAGAGCAGCAGCCTTTCCTTTACCATCGAGACAAATGGACAACACCACGTAAAAAGAATTAGTCAGGAAATAAAGTTGAGCGTCTTTTACATGTGGCTGCTCGTTTCAAACACAGAACGGCAACACTAAAAACATCAATATGTCCTGGGAGTGGGGGTGGGCAGCCGTTTGCGGGGTACATTTGATCTGGCTACAGCTGGCATGCGTGGTTTCAGCTGCGTCCTTAGGTGAAGGTATTGTGATTTGTCCAAAAAAGGGGGAAGAAATCCTAACATGTCAACGAGTAAAATGCAGAACTCAAAACAAAAGATCTGTACACATTTTTACAAATTATTGCCATTTTGACAAGGAATCAAACCAAAACCTTTGTTTCAAGACAGATTCACAAGTGTAAGAGGTCAGATAATAGAACTTTTAAAGGCTATCTGCTAAATATTTACATGAAAAGTGAATATCTTCTTAGATGCAGGGGATGTAAATCACTAAGAGGCAGAATTCCTGTCTTGGGGGAGAGGCCAGGGGGATAAACTACATTTGCAGACATGACAAACGTGATAACACCCTGAAACAAAATTATTTGTAGCATGATGCATAGATAAATTAAGGAAACACTACTGCATCCAATCCATGGACAGACAGTGGACTGCTAAATGTTTACAATTTACAATAAAGGATCAACAGCTCAATTTCCCACTGACCTCCTAGAAATTGCAGACCAGATTTTGCTAGGCGTTCTATTCTCAGTACAAGTCAGGGAGGTGTTCAACATAAAATCAGAGTGACTTTAAATTAACACATAATACTGCTGGCCAGCTCAGGATCACAAAATTGGTCAGAAAATTATGCTACTTTCATTATGACAGAAAAACATTGTGGACATTTACAGTGAAAGTTGACTAGCATGAGCTGCAGAGAACTGGAAAAAGGGGAAAAGCTTCATCTGTGACCTGGCCCAAAAAAAATACATTTCTGAGAAGCCAGATGATGGGGCTGTTTTTTCCACCCATATAAAAATAATAAAAAAATATTATTTAGGGGCAGAACACTCCTGAAAAAGGATTAAAAACTGTAACAAACATTCAAATGTTCCAGTTTGGCCACTTCGTTTTAAAGTAAACAGTTTAGCTTAAACAGAAGAATGTAAAAAAAAAAAAAAAGAAGGCTTTACCTGATCTACCTTTAATATCCGTGTCTTTGTTGTTCTTAAGACAATATTTAGCCAGGTTCATGATCTTGAAAACATTTTCACTAGTCTGGTCACTGAAAAGTACCTGTAAACAAATTTGAAAAAAGTACCACTTCAAAAAAAGAGAACAGCAGACTAAATACTAAAATAAGAGGCAGAAAGCAAAGCCAGTTTTGGCAGCTGTAAGAATGGCAGGACAACACACTGGAGCGTTGAAGGTGTGTAGCCTCTGGGCCCCATTGTACATGGACGATCCACATCTGAAGACTGCAACAAAAACAAAATAAATGGCTATATAAACTCTTGAGAGAAATCAAGATTTTAGTTCTTCATGGTAGACATCACTGATGTCATATTACACAAAAATGAAAACAAAGTATATATATATGTAATAGAATTTAGAAACAATCAAATTCTCCACTGAGGTCAGTCTTATGTACAAGACAGAAACCGTTTCAAAAGGGAAGAACGAGGGGAAGAATGATGAGGAAGATCACTCTGATTGAAGTGCTGCAGTGTGCTGTGTGTGGTGCCGTACGTGTGCTCCCAGAAAGCCATTGGGCTCTCCGCTGGACAAGCTCCCAAAGTCTGTGACGGACAAGGCCATTTTTGCACCGGTTATTCGATGGTGGTGTGTTATCGTACGCCGTGCTTCAAAGTCCACATCATTAACAAAGGCGTCAGGTAGCGCCATCTTGAGTCTCTTGGACGACCGCTCACAGTCTTTGTTGACACACACTCCGCCCAGCTGGCCCAGGTCAGAGTGGTAGAAGCCAGCGTCAAGCATGTTGAGGCAGTCGGGGTTCCCGCCATTGGAAGTGAAGCCGAGTGATTCTTCATGGTTGAGGGGTCCACAGTGGAGGCTTTCCAGAGGAGGAAAACTGTACGAGTCGAGGCAGCTGACCTCTGCAGGACTACACACTGTGGCTACAGTGTTACTCAAAGCTACGGGGACACAACATGGTCGGTTAAAGATGCGGAGAAAAAAAAAAACTGAAATGATGATATGAAGTCATTGTTCGTTAGCTTTATAACACACTTTAACCAGACAAGTTAAAAACTAGAGCTGCAATAAATAGCAATATAATTATGTAAATGTAGATGTGTTTCGATAAGTCAACCTGAGGTACTGACCTGTGAGATCACTGGCAGTGATGGAGTTGAGCAGACTGAGCTGCTGCTCTGTGGTATTTTCAAGCCTTCCACCTCCAACTGCTCCTGAACACACGGAGGACGAACTGTCTACAGCCAGACCCTCGGCTTCATCCACCAGCCTGTCCATTAGGTCACTATTTAGCACAAGACATATTTAAACATCAGTGCCATTCTTCTGCAATTTCTTATCTCTTTACCAAAAGCTCAACCTTCTTCTTGCGTTAGCTTTCTGGTATCGTCTCTTATGTTAATTGGTTGGTTTTGAACCATGTATTAAATCAGCTTTAAAATAGGCTAAAAGCAATAAGCTATCATCTAATTTGTTTCTTATCTCTTGGTTACCTTGTTTGGCTTCCTTATCCATGAAAATGTTGGTTTTAATACTTTTGGTGTGGGCCTCTGGGCCTTTTTTTTGTAATAATCCCCCCAATTAAAAAAAAAAAAAAAAAAAAAAAACAGTAATATGAACCAAAATAAAAGGTTGTTGTGTTACCTGACTATTACTGAGGGGCATAGAACACATCTCTTAAATTTGTTTTATTTATTTTTTCATTTTAATATTAAAAACTAAATAACATCTATAGTGCTATGGGTCAATTTCGACCCATATATATTTACATCAACAAAAGGCCAAAAAGTATAGTAAGTAAAAAGTATAAGTCATAGCTGGTAAAAAAAAATGTCACAAGTGAGCGAGGACCACGCGTTTTCCTTGGTTTTTCTCAGGGATGCCACTTGCAGCTTTGCCTGTGTAAATCTGTAAATTCCAGGCATAGCTGGTTTTTGCATCACAGGCTGCCCAGATTTTTATGCAGTATTTCCTTGGCTTACTGGGTATGTATTGGCACAGTTATTGTCGGTAGGGGTATTTTCCTCGGAAAGGGACAATACGTTCATCCACTGTCACCTCTGGTCCTGGGTTGAACATCAGCGGAAAGAGCTGCACCCATCTCTCCCAGACATCCCTGATGGGAGCAAGCTTGTCAGATCTTGCTCTGGTCTCTCCGTTGTCAAATCTGAGGACTCTTGATATCATTTGAAATGTCTTAAGTGACATTGTTGCCCGGAAAATATTTCTGCCTGTTGCTGGCGCCATAGACTATCAGTGGCCTCATTGCAGGATCTGTACACTCCAGCAAGAAGAACACCAATGAAAGCATCCAGGTATTCCTCATCAATATCATTCCACATGTCCCCATGGACTTTTTTTCCTTCAAGGTTCATCATAGTAATGATGATTCTTTTTAGTGACAATGGCATAAATAGCTCAAAACATGTCT